AATGGTCTATTTTGTGATGAATAGACACTTCTATCCGCTTACTATACTCAGAAAAACAATCAGCTCATTTGGGTAAAGAATGACGAAAACATTGAACATTTTCTAACTCTAAGGACTTTACGAACACCCTATATGCTTAAAGGTTTTAAGGACTACATGACAAGTTTTAACATAGTAAAAAAAGGCAAAGAGTTCAACCCAAGTACTTCGCTTGTGTAATGAAACCGGTACTTTTCTTTCTTCAAAGATACATTTACTTGTAAGTTCTTGCATCACTTGACAAATACCAGTTCAAGTACTGGTTAATTAAAAATACAAATACTTAATCACAAAGTACTTCTTGGTGAAAGAACGAGGTATTGCATTCTTGTAGAAATACTTGTAAAAGTTCATAGTAAGTAAATAATTTTGACCAAGTAATCAAGTAAATTAAATACTAGGACAGTGTTATATTAATTTTTTAATTTTGAAAACAATTAGCATGACGAATGCAACGCATACCATAAGTATCACTTCACTCAAATATCCAAATTTAAAAGGTATCTGTGGCATATACTCATAATTCATTGAACATAAACTACAAAGAAATGTTAGTGGCATAAAGAGAGCTGATGTCATTGTTAGAATTTGAACAATAGAATTAATATAATCACCATTTAAAATCATGTAGAAATCAATTAATGACGCCAACATTTCAGCGTATGAATCAATGGTATCATCCAGTTGTATTGCGTGATCATGTAAACTTTTGAAATAAATGTAAATGTAATCATTGAGGATCACTGAGTAAGATGTATCTTCATTGCAATCACAGAGAGTAGGAATCATTAAGTTAAATGTATCACGTTGTGCTGGTCGAGTAATTCGTCGTTTATGTCGGCGTCCAGCACACGATCGATGTTTGGGTCGTTGCCTCTTCAGCAAATGTTCTTGAGTTTTGATTAGTTTAATAATTATGTCTTTCAATGGGGAGTATTGAACTTTGAAATGTAGCATCGTGTGTTTCAAACTAAAAATGTATTTTAGAGTGTCGGCATTGAGTTTTGATGAATTTTTAAACATTAACTGTTTGTCGATGTAATCAATTTGAGTAAGAATTGAGTCGAGTACGAGCATATAGTTTTCAATAATGACATTGATTAAACAATAAAAGAGATAATCAGCCTTTTTGGTTTTCATTGAGCCGCGACTTCCACCGTTTTTATTAGCAGGGGTGGGTGGTTTTTTAGCTAAACGTTGTTTGATAGCGGCGAAGAGATGTGGTGTTGATCGTTGATAAAATGTTAATAAAACATTTTCTTTGAGATAAAAACTAATTTGTTGTGTTTCAGTTGTCACATCGTCGAGTAAATAGATTGTTTTCATCAACAAATAAATTCCATCATCGAACATGTCCAATTTCATTCGTTGATTGATCGTTTGAATATCATCTTGAACTAGCGTATGTAAATTAAATATTTCGCCTAGAATAATGAAAAATAAAAGATGTTACTTGTTGTCCAATAATAGATCTATCTTTTTTTTTACAAATTTTGTGTATTATTTGTTTATCTTTGATACCATTCACTTCGATCCACAAACATTTTGTTTCATTTTGTGTTTCAACATCTATGGGAATATCATTAACATCAAAATATTTCGATTCACAGTAGGAGACTTCATCATATATATAGACATTTAGTTCAATTTGCTCAACTTTTGGCAGATGATAAATTTCCATGATAGTTGTTTTTGATATTAATTAATCAAATAATATAATAGTTGATTTGATTTAATTTTTTTCCTTGCTCACGCGTTTAAACAAAATGCTTTGTCATGAATGAGATGTTATTTTATAACTGTGAACTTAAACTGCTACATGGCTGACTTTTACATAAAATAAAAAACAGAAATTAATTTTCAGTAGAGAAACAGACATTTTGTTCTGGCAGAACTATCTTATTAATCTTTAACAGATCAAATTAATACTGTTGTCTAGCAGAAATGGCTGAGTGAGTAATGATGACAGAGTAAATTTTAAAATAAGAGAAATCACAAAAAAAAAAGGATAAAATCAGAAAAGATCTCGGAAAATTAGCAGAATGGATCTCGGAAGGAAATAAAGACAGAAAAGATCTCGGAAAAATGTCAATTAAGCATTTCTGCATAAAAGATCTCGGAAAATTTTATT